GAGAGAGAGAGAGAGAGAGAGAGAGAGAGAGAGAGAGAGAGAGAGAGAGAGAAAGAGAGAGAGAGAGAGAAATTTACAAAAAACACTTGTTTTACACTCATTGGAAGTGTTGGCCATCTGCATGCCACAGGAACTGTGTAGAGGTCAGAGGACAAGCCATCTTACTAGGCCCCCCACCTCCCCTATCCTTCTTTCCTTTTGAGACAGGATCTCATGTAGCCCAGGCTGGCCTCGAACTCACTATGTAACTGAAGACGACTCTGAATGCCTGATGCTCTTGCCTCCTCCTCCAGCTGGGATTCCAGGTGTACACAAGCATGTTCAGTTTATGTAGTGCTAGGAATGAAACCCAGGCCTCCAAGCCCATTAGCTGGGCTACATCCCCAGCCCCGTTTACAGATTTAAATTAAAAAACACAGATACAATCATATTCTCTCTCTTTCCTCTGCTTACTTAAAAAACGAATTAACAATCGGATCCACGTCAACGCGTCTCAGTCTACCCTACTTTCTTTTAAATCGGCGACTCGGTATTCCTTGCCTGTTTCATCCCTCCCTCCCCTGGTGAGAGACATGCTATTTCCTTTCCTTTTTTCTTTTTCTCCTATTTCCGAATGCACAATGTTGCAACACGCGTCTTCCAGCAGGTGTTGGGAGTGGGGCTCTCGGGTGAAAGATGCATCCCCAGCGCCCCGCAGGCAGGAGTCAGCGGGCAGTGAGAATCAGGAGGAGGCTGGGGACCACTGAGCACCGCGGATACCGCGTCTCCGCCCGCGTCGCCCCCGCTTCAGCGAGCAGCTCGGCGCTGCCGTTTTTAGCGCGCCTGGAGCGGGGAGTACAGACTCCATCACCCCCGGGAAACGCGGCCATCATATTTTTGGTTGCATAAGCAAACGAAATTAGAAATCTGGAACGCGCTCAAGACCTTTGGAGGCGAGCGGTGGTGTGTGTGTGTGGGGGGGGCATGGCAGAGACAGACTGGGATTAGGCGAGTTGAGCGGCGGGAGGATGATTTCCTCTTTTAATTTGGGTTCCATGGGTTCAGTTATGTAATCGGTAGCGGCGAGCCGGCTGGAACCAGTGGCCTTGATCCCCATCCTATAAAGAACTGGTAGGGGTGCGGGGGTGGGGGGTGAAGGGGGTCCTGCAGACGCATAGCACTGCACACAGCAGGAGCGTGGTCCGGGGGCCACAGGGCTCTCCACTCTTACTGCCCTGGTGGTTTCCCTTGCAAGACTGCACAGAATAACAAGCCACTGGAAGCCACACAAATGTGTGGCATTGGTGGCGTTGTGCGCCGAGAACCATCTAGTGAGCAATGAGGTAGTCATTGTAAGGCATATTATAGAGCAGAAGAAAAGGAACGGGGCGGAGGAGGGGAGCGAGGACCAAAGGATGCACTAGACAAGAACGGACACAAAAGCCAGTTTGAAAGCAGCACGGGACACTTAGCTGTCATTGGTGTTAACAGACAACACAAAGATGCCTGCCCAGCAAAGCCTTCCAGGAGAGACACAGAAAAGCACACCCAGGGGGGTCCTCTGGTCCTCTGCAGCACCTTTGGAACCCCAGGCAAGGCAAGGCCTAAAAAGGAGGTCAGGAGGGACTTCAGGTTGTGCTCGTGTGTGTGTGTGTGTGTGTGTGTGTGTGTGTGTGTGTGTGTGTGTGTGTGTTGCCAGGTCAAACACAGCATCATCATGCATGCCACCGATCTGCTGCGGACTTCCGGTCCCTGCCCCTCCTACTTCTGGATAACATACGTGATTTTCTCACATTTTACTCTGTGCACTCCTGTCCATAAGAAGCAAAGGCCGAAAGAGAGGGAAGTTTGAGAGGCAGCCTGGGTCTAGACAGCACGTCTAGCACCTTCTGAAAGCAAATAGGAATTATGGAGGGACGGTGTGGAGTGTGGTGGAGAATAGGCCGCCCAACTACCCTACCCAGATAAGGAAACTGAATCCCCTGGAGGAGAGGGGTTTGTCCCAGCACCACACACCCGTGAGCTTCAGGCAGAAGGACACAGGCTGGAATTTGTTGTCCAGGGTTCTTCTGACATCAGGTCACTCTGTCCCCCTAGTCTTCAAAGTGCTGGGGTCATGGTGATGCTGGAGAGGCAGGAGGGGAGAATTATGATTTCATGGATAGGATGGGGGGAGCAACTTAGAAATCTATCAGCTGTCCCTACCAAACCTATGTTGGGAGCTCCGGATGGGTTCAAAGAAGGTCTGCAAATTCTCTAATACCCGTCCAAAGTGGCATCTCTGCCCTCTCTGAAGTCAGATTTCTCTTTGGGCTGCCAGCTCACAAATACCGTCATGGAGACTTCTTATTTATGAAAGCTTGGCCTATAGCTTAGGCTTGTTCCTAACTAGCTTTTATAATTTAAATGAACCCGTTTCTATTTGTGTACTTTCACCATGTGGCTTTTTACCTGTCTTTCATTCTGTATGTCCGGCTCCCTCCATATCTTGTTGGTGTCTCCTCTGCACCTCAATTATCTCCTCCTACTTCCTCTCTCTCTCTGGAAGTCCCACCTATACCTCCTGCCCAGCTATTGGCCTTAGAGCTCTTTATTAAACCATTCCCAATAATATATCTTCACACAGTGTACAAATATCCCACAACACCTCTCCCTTTGAATCTGGACTGACCCTAGGAACTCAGTTGTCACCCTTTGAATGCAGGGGAGTGATACTGCCTGGCTTCTGGGACTAGATGAAATCATGTCAGTCAAGGTGGTGGTGGTGCAGGCCTTTAATCCCAGCACTCAGGAGGCAGAGGCCAACCTGGTCTACAGAGTGAGTTCCAGGGCTGCCAGGACTACACAGAAAAACCCTGTCTCAAAAAAAAAAAAAAAAAAAAAAGAAACCATGTCCCAAAGCTTCCTTCTAGCTGTTGCAGGAGGTCCACTGGGGTTGGGGACAGCACTCCAGTGACAAGCCCAGCCGACTCTAGCCATGTTACACTCAGGGTTATGGCAACCCATAGCAGATCCCAAGCACCTGGCTCTCCCAAATTCCAGATCTACAAGACCACCAACAGAGCGAGGTAGCACACTTAAGACACTAAATGGAGTGAATTTCACGGAGCAAGATTATTTGTGCAGGGGGTACCACCATGAGTAAGCACGGTCTCAGAGACCCCAATAAACTAATAATTTAATGGAGAAGCCAGACAGAGCAAATAATTATAAAATAACATGGCAAGCTCAACAAGGAAGTCACACCCAGGTAATAGGGGAGCAGGCTGAAGAGTCTGTAATCTAGGCTGGGTGGGTGGCTTTCCTGGAGCAGGTGACCTTGAACTGGCTCTGAAAGGTAAGGGTTTACCAGGTAAAAGGAGGAGGGAAATGGATCTGGGTGGGAGGAGAAAGGAGAGAGGTGTAGAATGATCACAGCGGAGAGGAGCTTTATGGAAGCTGGAGAAGAGGCTGGGTAGATAGCAGGACCCCAAATCATGGGAACCTTGAGTGCCCGCCAAGAGCTTAGATCGACAGCGACTGAGGAGAGGCATCAGTACAGACAGGAGATGGAACCTCCTGGAAGCAGCAGGAAGATATGTGTATGGGAGGGGTGGGGGCATGTGGGGGTGGGGTATGGCAGGAGGGTGGACCTGTGCAGAGTAGAAACCCAAAGGAACTGTGTGTTCCCAAACAGGCTGGGAGGGACGAGGTGCGAAGACCATTTAGGGAACTGTCGAGTGTGGGTGTCAGGGACAGCGTTCAGCCTAGGGTTTCTTTCTCAGATGAGGAGGATTGCTGGGGCCACCAGCCACGTGAGGTGGAAAGCCTTGAAGGAGAAGCCAGTGTGAGTCCAGGTGGGGCAAGCTGGGAGCTGCAGCATCACAGTGGTCCAGGAGGAAGCATCCCAGTGCCATGATGGGAGGGAGGTGACGGCATCTCGGGCAGGCACGTGGGGAAGAGCTGTGTGGACAGCAGCCACTCCTTAAAGCGTGCCAGTGAATGAATGGTGGGGTGACTTCGTGAGTGTAGGTGGCTGTTGAGATCATCCGGGTAGATGAAGCAGTTGGGGATGTGGGACAGGCCCTGGGGCAGACTTTGGGTGGGAGCCAAGAGTGATGACGGAAGACCTGGTGACTCCAGGTCTCAGTTTCCCGGGGTGTGACCCAGAGGTGAGCCACAAGAAAGCACAGGAGCAAAACAGAGGCATCCAGAGAGTCAGATGTGAGACAGCACAGTGGCTTCCATGGGCCGCCGAAACAGGGTCCCCTGTGAATCCTTGTCACGGACCCTGTGCCAGGCCCTGCCTGCACTTGATGCTGGGATATCCTGATGGGTAAAGTGAACACCGCCTGTGTGGAGCTTAAATTAGAGTCCTGTGCAGTTTTGTCATCTTACCACAAATCGGAGAGATAAACTTAGCCAAGGTTGTCCAGCAGGGGCGGACTTTCTGTCTGGCTCGGGTATACAGCACTACTCGGGTGTACACAAGGGCTGCCCGATCCCGGGGCACATGTTTGCGTGGACCCTGAGAAACATCCAGTAAACTCAGGTTAGGCCAGACTTCCACTTCGAGGGACCTGGGCTCCACTGGGACTTCAGAGGGGAATAGGGTCCTTGTTATCAAGACGTGTATGTCAAGGCTGGGCTGGGATTCGGCAAGATGAACAACTTAATGTCTCCTCTTCATTGTGACTGTTGGATACCCCCCCACACTCTCCGCCAATCAACTCCAATTCATGGGGAGCCTTCTAGGCATTTCAGGCTCAGCTGGATGTTGTGGCAGCCTGCCCATTACCAGCCCATTGTACACCTGGGAACACTGAGGCCAGGTGGGTTGGTGATCTACCTGAGCTCTAACTGCCGAGGAAGAGGCAAAGTTGCAGATGGGGCCCATTGAACTCCAGAACTTGAGGGGTGCCACCAGAGTGGGTACAGGAACCATGTGAGTCTGAGCCTGTGGGCGGGGACTCAGAGCCCAGCTCTGGGCAACTGGGGAGTGTCACAGGCCTGTGGTCAGAATAGGCATAAGCCATAGTTCCTCCTCAGCATACCCCAGGGCCCAGATGTCTCCTGCCTAGGACTTAGGACTCTTCTTATAACTCTTGGCTCCCCCCCAAAAACAGGAAGCCCTTAAACTCAGTGTGCCCAACCCTTTTACCTTGGCACCCTAGGAAACTGAGGTGCAGAGACAGCTTAGCTGCCCAACTCCTCCCTTTGCAAGTCAGTGACACTCTAGATGACAGATGATGGAGATCTACCTCCCTAAAGACAGGGCATGACCTCATTACACACACACACACACACACACACACACACACTTACTTCACATGCACATACCATATACAAACACACACATACATACACACATACACACATACATACACACATACATACATATACACATATACCACATACAGATACCACATGTGCATACACATCACACATGCACACATCACACATAAACTACACACAGACACACAGTACAAAGCAGCTAAAACCAATAGCCATCCTGGCCACTGCAGGGGAGCGGTGTTGGCACTGTAGGTAGGGACCACGGTCATTGGTAGGGACCATGACAAGGTGATAGGTGAGTGGCTGCCTAAGGAGGTGGCCATGCCGGGCTGCAGCTTGCAGAAGCCTCTAGAGCAGGGGTTCTCAACCTTCCTAGTGCTGCGACCCCTTAATACAGGTCCTCACAGTGTGGTGAACCCCAACCATAAAATTATTTTGTTGCCACATCGTAACTATAACTTCGCTACTGTTATGAATTGCAATGTAAATATCTGATATGCCACCCCCTTGGGGGTCACGGCCCACAGATTGGGAACCACTGCTCTACAGGGAAAGTTTACCTAGAGACACCAGCTGCACAGCATGACACCTAATTGGAACAGTGGCCGGTCCACACCTTTCTGCCTCAAACGAATAGTTTCCCTTGGTTTCAAAGTCACGGCTGTAGACACCGGGCGGGCGAGGTGGCTCACAACTCTAGTCCTAGCACTTGAGAGGTAGAGAGAGGCGGGAAGACCAGGAGTTTAAAGTCACCTTTAGCTACGTAGACAGTTCCAGGCCAGCCTGAGCTGCATAAGACCATTTCTAGATATGTAAATGAATAAGATCAAGTCACAGAGTGGAAAGATGGCTGGGGAAGGCATCCATCCCTTCGTTCTGAGATGCCCTGTCTGGCAGGCCCCTGTGGAAGAGACCAAGGAGGTTGTCCGTGAATTCCAAGGGACCCTAATTGTGTCTGTGCCTCTTCCTGTAAATCTCAGACTTCACAAGCTGGCCAGCACCTTCAGAAATTCTGATGTCACCGGCTGCACCAGGCTCATTAAGCCTGGGCAGGAACTAAGCACTAGCCTCCTTAAGAGAGCCACACAGGTAATTCCTAGGCACAGAAGAGCACCGACGTCACATCGTCACATCGTCGGGCAGCTGGTTAGAAATGCAAGCTCTCCACCCACCAGAGACTGACTGAATCAGAATCCCCAGGGTGGGGCCGAGCTGGGGTTTTGACAGCCCTCTGGGAGGTTGGGAGGCTGGTACGGTTTGAGCAACTGTCTCTGACCCAGGAGGTATGATGCCAGGGACTCCAGACATCTGACCAGAGGTGTGTAATAAGAGACATTCAACCCTGACACTTCTTGAAATAAAAATTAAAAATCTTACTCCGGCCTATTCATTACAGAATCAAGAAGCAAAAAAATACAAGTTGGGACATTTTCCCTTCTTCAGTTGGAAGCCCTCATCCCTTGAATTCAAAGTTGTGAAACATAAACTCAACCCCACCCCCTCCCCCTCTCTCCTTTTCCTTGGGACAAGGTCACAATGTCCTCCCCCCTCCTCCGGGCACAGACACGGGAAGCTCTTCTCACCTCTGAGTGCTCCATGGTGGAGGTGAAGGAAACCGACCCAGCTTGTACTGCCCAGGCTGCCCTTGCCTCCTGGGCTCAAGCTCACCCCTGATCTGAGAATGCAAATATGGCCACCGTGATCCCCCTCCACCCCCACCAACCTTCCCCTTTATTTCCTTTCTTCTTCTCCCTCTCCTTCCCCTCTCCTTGGTCTTTTGAGACAGGGTCTTGCTATGTAGGCCTGCCTAGCCTTGAACTCACTGTGTAGCTCAGGCTGGCCTGAAGCTCATGGCAATCCTCCTGTCCTCGGTGTTGGGATTACAGCTATATACCTCCACATCCAGTTTTAGGCTCTCCTTTCAGTCTGGGGCCTCGAATCCTATCACACCAGGCTAGCCCTCGGCAGGTGCTCATTAAGTAAGCATCTACTTCCTTCCCTCCCTTTCCTCCTAGAACTCTAGAGCAATGGCTGCTCCTGTTTTGATTTGTATTAAAGCTAGCCTCATTGGCCAGCTACCCTGTATGGGAGTGGCCAGCTGTCAGGGATTATGAATTATTGTGGCTCATCCTAGGACAGCCTATTGTGCTTACTGAAAAGCCAGTCCCACAGCCAGAGATATAAAGGGCAGTGCATAAAGTCACGCTGCTGATTTAGTGCATCTTGGTGATGTGGTCTGTCCGGCTTCCTTGGTTCTAGAATTCATCATTTACTTACCAAGAGATTTTTTTTTTTAATGTGAAAAAGCAATAGCAGTTCTCATATGTGTATACGTCAATTAAAAGATGTCTCTGTCTTTTAGATATGTGAAGGATGGGGGCACGGCTAGATGGCTCACTCAGTAGGTAAAGGTGATTGCTACACAAATCCAGCAACCCGAGTTCGATCCCCGGGACCCATATAAAGTGGGAAGGAGATAACAAGCTGCATGGTTACCTTTTGCCTTCCTCATGCATGCTGAGATGCCCAACCCTACCACCACCCATAAGTACATTTTAAAATAAATCTTTTTATCATTTTATGTGTATGAGTGCTTATGTGTTGTATGTCTTGGTACCATGTGCATGCCTGATGCCTTTAGAAGAAGGTGTCTAATCCCCTGGAATTGGAGTTACATGAGGAACTGAACCTGGGTCCCTGAGAAGAGCAGCCATTGCTCTTAACCACTGAGTCAACTCTCCAGTTCATAATGTTTCTTAAAGACAGAAATGTGAAGTCTGTGCTGGAGAAATAAGGAAACTGGGTTCTCCTACAGGTCAAGATGAACGGCAATATGGGAAAACAAAACAAAACAAACAAACAAAAAAACACCACAGTGAATGATATTCATGGGTTATGGTTTATCTTTTGTTCTTTGGGGTTTCTTGTCTTAGGTCTAAAATGGAGCATGTGTGACAGTTAAATTATATATATATATGGTTAAACCTGATGGCACAGGCTTGTAATCCCAGCTTGGGAAGCTGAAATAGGAGGATCAGGAGTTCAAGGTCATATTAAGCCATAAAGCTGAATTCTAAACTGTTCTGAGAGCTACTTGAGAGCATGAAAAAAAAAAAAAAAAAAAAGATGTCAGGCATGGTAACTTCAGTTTGTAATCCCAGGGCTGGAGAGGAAGAGGCAGGTGGATCCCTGGGGCTTGCTAAACAGTAGCAGGCCAGTGAGAGACCCTGCCTCAAAGTTCACTGTGGTGGTATGCATATAAATGTATTGTTACTGGAGAGCAATTTAACCACATCCACAAACATTCAAATTGCACTTGTCATACAGCAAGACCCTATTTGGAAATAAACAAGCAAGTAAATAAGAAAATTCACAGAGGGAAAGCAATTCCACCAGCTCCTCAGAGAGACTATCAGAAGGGACAGTGTCTTAGGAAACCTGCTCTACAGTGACCCCAGCTGCTAAGGGTGGAATTTAGTCTCTGTGGAATCCAGACTAAGTAAAGCCACAGTTCCAGATCTTGCTAAATGGAAAATCATGATCCTGTCTACCCAGCCTGGCTCCTGTTTAGTTAAATCAAAGACAAAGCTGGGCGTGGAGGCAGAGGTGGGCAGATCTCTGTGAGTTCGAGGCCAGCCTAGTCTATGAAGGGAGTACCAGGAGAGCTAGAGCTGTTACAAGAGAAACCCTGTCTTAAAAAACAAAACAAAAACAAAAAAATCAAATGCAAAGATTATGGAAAGGACAAATGAGTTGAAATCCTAACCACCTTAGGCTTTCCTGGAGGGAGTGTTTTGAAGACACCCCCCCCCCCCATACACACTCAATCCCAAACACAAAGCTTTAAAGCATATATTTGCCATGCTTGTCCAGGGGCCAGTGGACACCCTCTGCCTCCTACAGGCTCTCTTCTTATTGTTGGCAGGACCCCATGCCTCAGATGGTGGCCAAATCTCAGATTGAGTCACTGGGACCTGAGAAGGCCTCTGTGGGCAGATGCAGCTAGTCAGAACACATATACTTGATACCACCTGCCTGGTGCCACCTAGGGTCACCCATAGGGCCCCAGCTTCCTGCCATTAAACCCGTTGAAGAAATCAGTCCACAGAAAGGTTCCCAATAGAAATGCAAAGGTGTTATTTCAGCAAGGTCAATGCTAACATTTAGAAGGGAAACTGCAACCCACATGGGCCTCTTTTGACCTTCACGGGCTTTTTTTGCCATCTGATTCCCCCACAAAGCCATAATCCATCTTGCTCCAGCAGGCTGCTGCTTGGCTGCGGCAGGACAGCCTCGGCCCCTGAGGGATCCTCACAGGATCCAGAAAGCCTCAGACTTCAGCACCAGAGCCTCCAGCTGAATCTTGAGTCAGAGAGAGCTCCTGGCCCAGATTGTCGGCACAGGGAGGTTTTACAACTCCCATTGATGGGGAGAGGATTCCCTAGTCAGTAAGAGCCATGGCTGTGCGGTCAACGGCTTTCCGCGGCATTTTCTACATCCCCTGTCTGTGCCGGGCATGATCCGCCAGGGGCTTAAGGGCATTTACGTCATTTAATTCCCTTAACAGAGCCAGATGTGGTGGAGGATGTCTATAATCCCAGCATTCAGGAGGCCGAGGCAGGAGGATTGAAAATTTAATGCCAGTCTGGGCTAGAGAGTGAGTTCCAGGCCAATCCACGTTATGCAATGAGACCCTTTTTTCAAAAAACACAAAATAATACACACCCTCCCAACTGCCCGTATAAAGGGCATCCTGTCCCCATTTACAGATGACTAAACTGAGGTCTGGCTAAGCCACCTCACAGGGCTTATCCTATCCTCGTGGACAATCTGTACCCTCATTTCTTCCTCCCTGCTTTCCAGGCTTGCTGTGCCAAAGAGATTCAAAGGCCTGTATGAGGCTCTCCATTTGGTACCCTGAAGCTTATTGGTCATCCTGGACTTTCTCACTGGGGTCTGAGTCTCCAGGGGGTCCCAGGCCAGGACTCTGAGCTCTGGCAGCCTCGCTGGGTCACTTTTCACTGGTCTTTTGTTCCTCTATCGGGAGGGGAAGAGGACGGAGCTGACCTTCACACCAGCCTCCCTTCCCAGGAGGCTGGAAGCTGCGTGCTCTCAAGAGGAGGGCCAGCATTCCTTGGGATTGTCTGTTACCAAAACACAGTCTTAGAGTACAGGAAGTTTGGAAAATGGGACAAAGGTATTTGTCACAGTGCCAGGGGCCTGTCCTGGTACTGACCACCTGCTGCCAATAGCACAAAAGGTGTTGCCCTGGCTGACGTATGGGCAGATGCCTTGGTGAGTTGTCTGGTCTTCATACATTCCCCTTCATTCTCTTTGGCTTGTTTGGAACCCTTGGAAGGGGGAAGAAAATAAAGCCTTCATAGTTCGAGCACAGGAAAAGCCTTGCTTCATGAAAGAATGACAGGCAGAGGTGGGTCATGGTTGAGCCCGATGCTGTGAGGTTGTAGACACACCCAGCACCGCCTGAGAGCCACATAACCCATCACCCCACAACCATTCCTGGCATCCCTGGTGTGAGTTCAGCCCTCAGCCCACGTCACAGGACTTTGTTGACCTTCAACAGAGATGCAAAGGTGGAGCAGGAGGAGGCCAGGCCCAGCACAGCAGGGTCTTCCAGGGTCTCAGTCTCCTCCCAGCCTGAACAGGTAGCCTAGCTCACAAGATGGAAGAGCTGGAGCCCTCCCCTTCTCCCCTCTGGGAAGTTCCGAGGAAGGTAGCCTTGAAGCCAGAAGATGGCAGAGAAAGCAGGAAGGCTGGGGGGTGGACCCAGGAAGGCCATAGTCTTCAGCCGTAAGCACACAGCTTTGCCATTTACCAGCAAAGGTCACAAAGTTTCTTCCTGGAGACTTCTAAGAACAGGGGCATGGGGGGGAGGGGAGATTTTATGCACTCTGTCAAGGGCCACCTAGCCACAGAGGGAAGGAACGGGAGCCTCTTAAGTGAGCAAGGACCGAAGAGGCCCCTGTGGCTTGAAGGACAAAAGGACCTTGCGGGTGTGGCTTGAAGGCTGTGATGGAGGTGACCCAGTAGACTTTGGCCAGGACACTGGCTTTCCTTACTGGCCAATAGTTTTGGAGCCTCTGTAGGCAGGCGGGGAGGGGTAGACGCTGCGATTCTCCCTGGGCCGAAGCCTCACTTAGGTCTGGGAGTTGGGGGCCAGGTAAACAGCGGGATTACTCTACAAAGGTACTCTAGTATCTGCTCTTTAAAACTAATAGATTCCAGACTGTGGGGCCAATCCAGACTGAGGAAGCCACAGGGTAGGACCTTGAACCCCACCGCCCACCCCTGACACCCGATTTTTGAATCTAGACCATGGGCAAGCAGGAGAGTTATGGGTGCATTTCAGAGTCTTCCACGGCAAAATGAGGTTTAGCGACAATAATAAGAAATACAAATAAATAAATAAACAGGCCAGGGATAGTAGCACACACTCGCAACCCCAGCACTTTGGAGGCGGAGACAGGGGAGATTTCAAGTTCAAGGTCAACTTGATCTGTCAAGTGTCTTAAAGAAACCCAAATCCCAAATCACTACAAACAACAACGCTCAAAGCACAAAAGGCACCCCCTTTCTCCCGTCTCCTTCCCTAGAGTTGCAGTGAGGATTCCGAGAGCCTAGAGGGCCCTGATCACAGCTAATGTGCCCCACCAGGGAGCTCTTCCTTCAGCAGGGATTCTCAGAATGACTTGCACACTCCCACTGCCAAACCACCAATTCCTCTCCACCCCCTGCCAAGCAGGTCTGTCCCTTTCACAAGATCCAGATCCAGCAGGTCCAGGTGACAGGCTCCCACCAACCACACTCAAAGGGGTTCTGAACCGGTCTCCACCCGCCTCGCCGCACTCCCCCCCAGACCAGGGAGTGCCGACGTGGCCCCCTTGTCTCATGTTGTGAGTGGCGGTTGCTGGGATGCAGTGTGGGGTTTTGTCTGCCTTCCCTGCCCGGTGCCAACTCACCCAGCAGGCCTCACTGCCTTGGCAACGCATTGCAAAGTCCACACAAAGGGAAACTGCACCGGGGAGGTTGGTCCTGCCTGACGCCTGGGGAGGGTTTCCATGGCAACGATGACATCACTAGACTTGTTTGGCTACAGAGTCAGGCCCTGAATGGAGGCGCCTGGGTGTTTCACACTGCAGAGATGTGGAGAAAGGCAATCCAGGGACTCTGCGACGATGCTGGAATAGGTGGGCCTGTCCAGGATTCCAAACCCAGCCCTGCCCTTGCCTGGCCGAGAGAGCCTGTCGGCCTCCCCACCTACAAAGGGAGCTCACAATCAATCCATTTAAGCGAGGGTGGATTAAAACCACGCATAGTATGCAGGCACCCCGGGGAGGGGGGAAGGGGAGGGGGAGGGGGGAGGGGGAGGGGGAGGGGGACGCATTGTGACGTTTTCCTGTGCTGGCAACTTTAAATGATTTCCAGGGAAATGTGGGAGCGGCCTGGGCTCTTTGGCTACTGGGCTCCCGGTGACCGATCCCTTGGTGAGCCTGGGCTTGGGTGGGGAGAAGTCACAATTATCCACGGACTACTCCCGGCCTCTACTTTACCGGGGAGGAAGGGGTAGAATGTGGTGTAGCATCAAAGATGGAAGACTTCAGGGGCTGGACGGTGGCTCAGAGCTTTCCTGGTTTTTCACCTTTGGGTCTACAGATGGTGATTCCAGGCCCAGAGGGAAGGTATGCCAGGCCCAAGGGGATGGGAGGGTAGGCAGGGGGTAGGTAGCCTGTGGCCTCTGGGTGGGCCCCTGGGTGGGGCCGCCTCTGCCCTCTACACAGCGGGCGACACCCTGAGTCTTCTGCACGAAATAGTCAGAGGCACAAGGCTAGAGGGGCGGGGCTCTCTGAGGTCAGCAAGTCTGGAGACAGCCCAGGGTGTGTGCCGGGCAAAGGGAGCAGAAGTCAGGCAGGCTTCCTCTTCACATGCATATTCGGAAGGTTCCCTAGGCCGGATGCCATCCCAAATTCTGACTAGGGTCCCCGTCCCTCCCTATCCCCAGTACACATGGTGGGGAGGGCCCCCAAGTCCTTAGTCCACACAGCTGGGGCCAATGCTAGATGGATTCAAATGCCCCCTGAGCTCTCTGCCGACCAGCTCACTCCTGCCACTGGATTTTGTCCCTTAGGCCCGTCCTCCTAGGGGCTGGGACCTCCTCAAATTGTCCATCTGCAAGGAGATTGGTCGCTGCCTTTCTGTTTATTTTATTTAGTGCTCAGGGTGGCCTTGAACTCACTATGGAGCCAAGGATAGTGACCTCGAACTCCTGACCTCCAGAGTACTGGGATTTCAGCTGTGAGCCACCATACCCAGTTTATGCAGTGCTGGGAATCAAACCCAGGGCTTCATGCATGCTAGGAAAGTACTCTACCAACTGAGCTCTAGACAGGGCCTGGGCTCGACCCCCTTTCTTCCATTCTGCTCAGTTTCCACCCAGAGCCACACCCTCCAGATGCTCCCCTCCCCTCATCGGTTCCGGCTGGGGGAGAGATACCCGGGGTTGCAGGCAGTCATTTTGCTCTAGAACACTCCACTCCAGCACATAAATTCAGGAGGTTGTAGACCGTTGTCCTGTCTCCCTTCCACCCCGACCCACACGGGAGCCCCTTCTTCTACCTCCAGGGTAAGGAAAGACACCTGCTCTCTAGGCCCCACAGCTCCGTTGGTCACCTTCTAGGCCCCTGTTAGACAAGGATATGTACCTAGATACGGTACTGCCCCGGCCCCTCAGCCTTTGCCCTTCTTGGCCCACGGACACCTCTGGCTCAGCTGGCATTGTTTGGTTTCAAACCGGTTCTATGAAGGTGGCTCCAGTCCAGTGTCCTGGAGGTGGCAGAGTCACCCATCGGGTGCCCTGGAGGAAACAGGCATCGGAGGACCGTAAAACTAGAAGCCTCATGGGAAGGAATGTCCCTTCCGACACAGAGGCCCAAGGACCCCAGAAACAAGCTTGGGGCACCTGCGACACACTCTCTTTCTCTCAGCCAAAGGGAGTGTTGGCTGCTGCCCGGAACGGATTGAACCGATGAAGAGATGGTGGTCAGCCTTGGGCCTTGGAGGCCAACCACACTCTGTTACCTTTGCCTCAGAGATGGAGGAACTGGGTCAAAGGTGGCAGGAGGAGGCTCCCCACTCATTAGTGTAATGGACCTTGTATCTCCACCCTCAGACAGGTGGCTCCAGGTGTATGGGGCCTGGTATCCCTCACCACGCACACATCTGGGGAAGAGCCCAGCATATCTCCCTCACCCAGGCCATCTGGAGCTGGGGAAAAGCCACGGGGTGGGGGCGGGGTGGAGTTCAATTTCTTCGGCTGGAGTGAGCTTACCCCGTGCTGATTTGCATAACAAGGTTTCACGTGGCAACCAAATCAGCCTGCAGGAGAGCGAAGGCCAGGCTGTGGCCTGCTGTGGGCAGCTGTCCTTGGCTCAACCTCCCCGTGGCCCTGGATCCACCTCCCACCAGCCTTTGAAAATTCTTCAGTAAAGCCACCATGGGGGGGCGGGGGGCACGGTGGAAGGTGAACACACTCTACCTCTCGTGGGGAATCCCGGGTCACCTGCTCCTCTGAGGCTGACCAGGAATCACAGAGAGCCTCGGGCAGAGCTCCCGAGGGCCCACGGTGTGCCAGGCCCCACCCAAGGCTCCTTCACACACATTAAGCCATTGCCTCTTCACGAGACCTTCTGAGGAAGGTAAGTATTGTTGTCAGGGAACCAAGAAGGAAAGTGAGTCACAGCTAGGTCTCTGACACGGCCAGAGGTGACCCAGGCCTAGCTGACCAGCATCGCCTTCCCAGGTGCCTCAGGGCTCACTGTCTGCAGGGATGGGGGGATCAGCACCTTCATCTCTAAGTCTCCAGGTGCCAGGGAACAAGGTCCTCTGCTCACATGGCAGGGCGAGCATTCCTCCTGTTCATCTCACTATAGCACTGGACAGGTAGGTACACAGTGACAGGACAGGACATTTCTCCGTCAGAGAAGTGGCCACTTGATAGCAGCCAGCAAGGCTAAGACTGCCCTTTATTCTTGGAGCATGCAAACCCTCCATAGGTCCAGATAGGCCGCTTACTCTCCAAGTGGCTGTCATGTCAAGAAAAGCCATTCCACGCCTAGTATGGTGGTACTCGCCTGTAATCTCAGCACTGGAGAGGAGAGGCTGTGTGATATGTTGTGTACCCTATAAACTTGCCTGAGGATCAGAGGACAGAGCCAGCTACTAGATTAGATATAGAGGTCAGGCAGTGGTGGCACACACCCTTAATCCTATCACTGGGGAGGTAGAGATCCATCTGGATCTCTGTGAATTCCAGGCCACACTGGAAACAGAGCCAAGGCAGTGGTGGCACACAACTTTAATCCCAGTACTGGGAAACACACATGCCTTTAATCCCAGGAAGTGATGTCTAGGCGGAGAAAGGTATATAAGGTGTGAGGAAACAGGAACTCACTCTCTTTAGGCTAAGGATTTTGTAGAGGTAAGAACTAGTGGCTGGCTGTTCTGCTTCTCTGATCTTTCAGCTTTCATCCTGATATCTGGCTTTGGGTTTTTTATTAAAAGACCATCTGCCAGGTAGCAGTGGTGCACGCCTTTAATCCCAGCACTCGGGAGGCAGAGGCAGGCGGATCTCTGTGAGTTCAAGGCCAGCCTGGGCTACAGAGTGAGGAGAGAGGAAGGGAGAGGAGGTGTGGGAGGGGATGTAACGCAGTTCATAGAGTGCTTGTCTAGCTGCATGAAGCCCTGGGTTCAGTTCTCAGCACCACATGACTGGTGGTGCACACCCGTTATCCAAGCCCTGAGGAGGTGGAGGCAGGAGGTTCAAAAATCAGTTCAGGGTCATCCTCAGCTACAGGTTCCAGGACAGACAGAGCTGCATGACATCCTGTCTCAAAAAAAAAAAAAAAAAAATGGGAGTGGGGCCAGAGAGATGGCTCAGCAGGTAAATGCGTGCCATGTAAGCCTGGTGACCTGAGATTCATGCCCTAAATCCACATAAAGGTGGAAGGAGAGAACTGACTCCACACAGTTGTCCTCTGACCTCCGCACGTGTGTCCCGATACTCATGTGTGTGTGAGCACACATGCACCGACACCCACACACAATATATATATATGGTTTCTCAAGACAGGGTTTCTCCGTGTAACCCTGGCTTTCCTGGAACTCACTCTGTAGCCCAGGCTGGCCTCCAACTGGGAGATCCACCTGCCTCTGCCTCCTTCCGTCCTGGTATTAAAGGCGTGTGCCACCACCACCCATCCACAAATGTATTTCTTAAAAAGAAATTTGGGTTTTGTGTCCAGACATGTCTCTGGGGCTGACCAGCTGTGACACTTGGCACAAGCCCCCCATATTGTCTTCCCTTGTCTACTAGAGGATGTCCTGCCTATTAGGGCATTGTGTGGGAGGTGATGAGGCCCTGGGACACAGAGCAGAGGGAGAGGCTGCTCTTGCTTGGCACATGGCCGCAGCCCAGGCCCCACCCAGAAACATTGGTTGTTTGAGAGGCAAAACTTCTCTCCAACATCAAGGGAAGCCCTGGTCCTGCCCTAGACTGCTCAATTTCTGGCTCAGCCACATTTAGTCAGGCCTGAATGACTCAGAAGTGACCTCACAACCCTCTGCCTCAGTTGTGCCTCCTGTAAAATGGGCATAGCAGCTCTCAGCGACGAAATCACACAAGGAAAGGCCTTTGGTGCTCGTGGTCTGTCATTAAGTGGGCGGACGTCCTTGCTCTTCCTCACCTGGCTAAGAAGGCATCGACAGGGGGAGATCTGGGGAGGAATAGGATACAGAAATGCTGGTGGCTCACACCTGTCACCCCAACCCTCAGGGGACTGCCAGCAGTTCAAGGGTAACCTGGGCTACGCAGTGAGCTCCAGGGCAGCCTGGGCTACTTACTGGGATTGTCTCAAAGAAAAGAAAAAAAAAAAAAGACTGGTGAGATGACTTATGGGAAAAAGTACTCTCAGTGCAAGCCCGGGGACCCGGGGTAGAAAGCCCAGAGCCAGTGCTGAAATAAAAAGAAAAAATTTAAAAAGCCTCTCGAGTGTTGGGTTCCACGAGGGACTCTGTCTCACGGGGAAAAGCTGAGAGTGACAGAGCAGGTACAAAACATCTTCCACTGGCCTCCACGTGTGTGAGAAGGAGCACACGCGTGTGCATGCACACACACACACACACACACACACACACACACTCACTGGAGCACACTTACACACACCACAAAAAAAAAGCACGACAGTAAAGAGAAGAGAACAAAATGTCACCTGTGCTCCAGCGTGAGCCGGTGCCACATTCCTTTTCCCGAAGACAAGTTACCATTTAACCAGCCTACGGGACTTGGTGCCAAACCAACAAACCAGCAGCACCCGTTTGCTGGGGTCAGATAGCCCAGGGGAGCCTGGTGCATGAATGTGCCCCCCCTCAGCCTCTGACCCCTGCCTGCTCTGCCCTGCCCAGGCCCCGCATGGGGACCTCGGCCTCCAAGGTAGTGTGGGGGAGAAGGGACTCGGACTCGGAGGGGCAGAATTCAGGCTCAGGGGAAGCATATTTAAAAGGAGTGAGCTGGGCGAGATGTGGCTCCGTCGGAAAGTGATTGCCTGGTGTGCTGGAAGCCCTGGGTCTGATCCCCAGCAATGACTCATAAATCGACAATGACTCAATTTAATCTCAGCACTCCAGAGGTGGAGGCATCAGAATCAGAGGTTCAAGGCCATCCTTGGCTACATAGGGAGTTTTGGGCCAGTCTGCATTACAGAAGCTCCTGTCTAAAATAAAAAAGGCATGGGCGGTGAGCGCTACATACCTGACCAGATGAGCCCAGATCACCGCACCAGGTGGAGAAAGGTCTACTCCACCTGTGTCTACAGCTGTGGGGCTGGGAACCAGGGACACGACTGATCAGCCAGCACCTGGCCAGGTGATCTGTGGACCGTCTCCCCACTCCCCTGGGCCCCCTCATCTCTGATTCCCCAAGGTACAGTGTTTACTATTGGGCTCTGGTCCTTCTCTCTAGGATCCCCAAAAGGATGTAGAGACTCAAAGCTTATTAAGTGTGTGTGTGTGTGGTGGGGGGGGGGGGTGTTACATTTTGCTGCATTTAAAGAAAAATTTCATGCCTGAAGTGAGATCATATAATACATTGAAATGATAAAAACATCTCCAATCTAGAGCAAAGGACAGAGGAATCTATCAGATCACCACATACCCGCTACTAAGCTTAAGCAGATGACAAAATTTCTCTGAATCCCCATTAGGACTCTTTCGGTCAAAATTTCAAATATTAACAAAATTGAAGCCATCTCCTGGCCATCGCCTTTCCTCCCTCTTCGGAGGGGACCGCGACCTTGGAGTTTGTCGCTACAGTCTCATACCCATGGTTCACAAGGCTCTGTGCTCTACTGTTGTTGAACTTCTGCATGTTTAAGAATATGATGGGTGGCTGGGCGGCGGTGGCGCACACCTTTAATCCCAGCACTCCGGAGGCAGAGCCAGGCGGATCTCTGTGAGTTCGAGGCCAGCCTGGTCTACAGAGTGAGATCCAGGACAGGATCCAAAAGGTACACAGAGAAACCCTGTCTCAAAAAGAAAAGGAAAAAAAAAAAAAGATGCGTGAACATGTGAGCTGCAGGCTGCCGGTGGGCACTTCAGTGGGTAGAGTGCTTGCTTAGCATGTATGAAGCCCTGGGTTCGATCCCCAGCACAGCATTAACTGGGCATGATGACTTATAGCAGCAGTCCTAGCGCTGAGGAGGCAAAACCTTGAGGATCAGGAGTTCAAGGTTATCACTGGCTACCGAGAGCATTTGAGGTCAGCCTGGGCTACTTTGAGACCATGTTAAGCGGAAGGCAGGCAGGCAGAGAGGCAGGCTGGGTGGTTAGTTGGATTTGAGGATGTGTGAATTGGTTCTTACCCTTACCCTCCATACTGCAGGCCTGCCAGGTGAGTTGTCTACGGAACAGGATCCGGTTCAGACCCAGGTGCCTTCTCCCAACACTGTGGCACCTCTCTCCTTGGCTTATACACCGGGGTTCAGCGTGAGATTCCCTTGGAACCTGAGCCTTGCTGCTTGAAGATAGTGATTCTAATGGATGTCCTCACCTGCTGGGGAAGGAGACTATTGCCCAGAGAGAGGAAGCGGCTTCCTACGGGTCACATGGCCAGCAGAATGGCAGGGCCTTCTGAGGCCCCAAGGCTCTGACCTTTCTTTCAGGTCAACAAGGAAAGGCGAGGGTCAGTCAGGCCCAAGAGATGACTTGCTCCTGCTTCTGGCAAAGACAAATAGGTCAGAGGAGGCCAAATAATCTCCTCTGTGAGGCATGTCAGGCTACAGGGAAAGTTCGAGATTGGTGCCGTTGGGAAAGGAGTTAGTGTAAGCTGAGGTATACTAAGACAATGTGGTTTGGTTTACATTTGTTCATTGTCTGACTCCTGGTATGGAACCCAAGCTCTCCCAAATGCTAGGTAAGTGCCCTACCACTGCCCACAGCCCTAGCCCAAGAATGCTGTGCAAACAAGGCTTGGTAGACTTCATACAAAACATATATGTAAAGGAGCTCATTATTTTTTGTGTTGATTGCCTGAGGAAACAAAATTCTGTATGTGTTAAGTAAAATACATCCCTAAAATTAATTTTACCTGTTTTTGTTTTTACTTAAAAAAAAAAATAACAGCTACTAACAAACTCTCCAAAGAGAGTTCCAAAGATTGTTGAAGCTGGGCTTCCTCCTGGACCTCCACACCCCTTGGTCTTGAGGAGTAGATCCTCTGTGTGTGCAGAGCTCTCTCCCAGGGAAGTCATATATGAATGCTCCTGCAGACAGGGGGTTGCTGGAGGGCCTGAGCCTTTGGTGACAGTGACTCTGCATTGACATCATGGGAGATG